AAGGCTTCTAGCATTTGGACCTTATTGAGTGGTTCCTTGGGACGAGGGAGGGGTGTACTCTCCCCCAGGATTTCATGGAGAATCCGTCATCTCAACGAGCACCTTCAAAGCCTTTACAGCTTCATCCTGGCCAGAGGCAGGAAAGCCTCCAGGAATCTCCTGGTCTGGAATCCCAGGTTTTGTGTATTCCAGGTAGCGTTTTCCCTCCAAGGACCCACTGCTGACAGATGCTCTGAGAGCAACATGACAAAGCCTGGAGAAAGCAATGGGCACTCAGAGCCAGAGCCCCCGTGCAAGTAGGCGGTGGTCAGGCGGGCAAGGAAGCCAGGTGGTGGGGATGATGGAGAGGGGTGCGCGGTCCCTGGGACAGCAGGGCATGCTCGGAGTCTGGTGGGACATCTTGAAGTGACTGGCATCTCCTTTAGGAGGAAACATGTCCTGTGAACACCCTCCTTGTGCACCTGTCCCTCCCCCCTGTTCTCTGACAGGGTGACTCCCTAGCCGCCTCTTCTCAGACCATCGCTTTCTCTTTTTCCATGCTTATTTTCTTGAATGGTCTACGGCCCAGCCCTTGCCTCTGTGAATCAGAACCAACTCCACGGCAGTGGGTTTGGGTTTTTTTTTGTTTTTTTTTTCCTTAATTCTCCCCGAAGACCCTGTAGCTCAGGCTGTCACATTTGTTTCTCGCATGCCTGTTGAGGGCAGTAGAGCATGGTGGTTTAGAGCAAGGATTGGCAAAGGATGGCCCGTGGGCCAAATCCAGCTGCAGCCTGTTTTAGTAAATAATGTGTTATTGGAACACAGCCATGCTTATTCGTTTATGCATTATTCGTGACTGCTTTTGTGCTATGATGGCAGAGTTGAGTAGTTACGACACAGACCATATGGCTTGCAAAGCTACAATATTTACTCTCTGGCCCTTTACAGGAAACCTTGGCTTATCGCTGGTTTAGAGTAAGGCCTCTGGAGCCACACTAAACCAAAACCAAACCCGTTGCCATCTAGTAGATTCTGACTCCTAGTGACCCTGTAGGACAGAGTAGAACTACCCCACAGGGTTTAGTTTAAGTGAAAGTTTACGTTTCAAGTTAGTCTCTCATACAAAAATTTATACATACATTGTTATGTGATCCTAATTGCCCTCCCTGTACTGCGACAGCACACTCCTCCTTTCCACCCCTGATTTCCCATGTCCATTCAACCAGCTCCTAACGCTGTCTGCCTTCTCGTCTCACCTCTGGACAGAAGCTGCCCATTTAGTCTCATGTATCTACTTGATCTAAGAAGCACACTCTTCACGAGTATCATTTTATGTCCCACAGTCCAGTCCAATCTTTGAAGAGTTGGCCTTGGGAATGGTTTCAGTTCTGGGTTGACAGAATCTGGGGGCTGTGCTTTCTGGGGTTCCTCCAGTCTCAGTCAGACCATTAAGTCTGGTCTTTTTACTAGAATTGGAGTTCTGCACCCCATCTTTCTGCTGCTTCATCAGGAGTTGTGTTCCTTGTCAGGGTGATCACAAGGCTGTAATCTTTACGAAAGCAGAATACCACATCTTTCTCCCATGGAGCGGCTGCTAGATTTGAACTGCCAACCTTTTTGGTTAGCAGTCAAGTGTTTTTACCACTGTGCCACCAGGCTTTCTGAAGCCACATTGCTGTGGCTCACATCTTCTCCCTAGCTGTGTGGTCTTGAGCAGGTGACTCACACCCTTGCAGCTTGGTTTCCCACCTGTGACATGGGCATGGTGGTGGCACCGGCCTCCTGGGGTTGCTGTAAGGACCAAAGGAGCAAATGCACCTGAAGCCCTTGGAGCAGCGCTCAGTCCACATGAAGTGACACGGCACACAGTGTAAAAGCCCCGATGGGGGGCCAGTGTGAACATGGGTCAGAAATGGGTTAACCTTAATATACTGAGAGCCCCAAAGAGCAACAAGGGCTGGGCGAGAGTGAGGAAAGCGAGATGCCCAGGGTGCAAAATTCAAGGCGGCATGCGTTCTCAGATTCATGCAAGTGCAGGGTCAGCCCCTGAGAGTGAGGGCTTCCTTTTGCATTTTGCTCTCTGGGTGCCTCGCTTTCCTCACCCTAGCCTGGTCCTGCCCGCCAAGTCCACCACAACCAGCTTTAACTCCAGCACTGGTACAGGCTGCAGTTTCTGTGGTTGAGTAGCAGATGACAGAGGTGGCTTGCTCTTTGGGGCCATATTGGGGGGAAGTTTGGCCACATGGGTAGAGCTGATGTCATGTAGGGCAAATAGGTGCAACCCCACTGTGCTGTGTGCCAAAGCCAGGGGCTCGACCTCCTTCACTAGGTGTCGTCTCAGTGATGCCGAGAAGGTGACTTGCCCAAGGTCACACACGGAATAAGCATCGGAGTTCAGGAATCCAACCTGGTCTGCCTGAGTTTAGAGCCCAGACTCTCACACCTTGTGTGAGCAACTCTAACACAACCAAAAAAGTGACAAGTGCCCTAAGGAGGGTTATCAACCACGATTGAGTTCAGCTGCATGTAACAAAGTGGCCCACCGAGGCTTTACCAGATGGGGTATTTGGTTTTTGTGTGTGTGTTTCTGTTTTCTCCTTGACACATACAAGGCATTTGGAGGCAGACAGCCAGCCAGGCTGGTGGGGTGGGTGAATGATGCCACCAGGGACCCAGACTCCTTCTGTTTTCCCATTTGGCCATCCCAGCATGTAGCTTGCTTGCTTATTCTCACAAGATGGCTACTCTATTCCTAAACATCCCATCCACATTTTAGTTAGGGAGAAGGGTAGAAGGGCAAAGGCTGTTAGTCCTACGTCTGCTAAGTCTGTCCTGATTACCAGGAAGACAGCAGCTTTCTCAGAAGCTCCACCTGTAGACTTCTAACCACTCACGCTGGGCAGGCTTGGACCATGTGGCCATCCTAGCTGCAACGGCCTCCTGTGACGTGAGCATCTTTACAGGATGTGTTGCCACCTCAACAGAGTCGGGCCTGTTATTGACAATGGAGAGGACAGTGGTAGATACTGGATACGCAGAGTGCAGTGTCTCTGCCACAGAGAGGTACCAGTAAAGGTCATGGGGGATTGAGAGGAAGTAGGGAACCCAAGGAAGTTTTCCTGGAGGAGGTGACACTTGAGCTGAGTCTCCACAGCTAGGTGGGATTTGGCTACACGGAAAAGATTTGGAAGATGGCAAATGCTGGGAGAACAGAACGAGCAAAAGCACACAGTAGGGAGTTTAGGGCACATATGAGGTGTCAGGACTCTCATAAATCACAGAAATCTTACTCACATTGACATAAGCAAAAAAGAAAGTTTCAGCAGCATCTAGCCTCAGGCACAGCTGGATCCAGGGGTTCTGAACAAACTCATCAGGAGATCTGCTTCAGCTCTGTTCATCTCTGTGTTAGGGACAGACTGGGCCCCAGCAACTCCTGGTATCCGTCCTGTTAGCTAAGCACCCTTGCAGAAAGAAAACGCCGTCCCCCAGTTCTAGCAGATTCCTAGGCTAGTCACATGAACTTGTCTTTGGTCCATTCCCACCCCTGCACCAACTGGCCAGGTGTGTTCTGAGGAGGTGGGATGGGCTGACTGTGTCCAGTCCTGGATCCTGTTGCCACCCTTGGGCCCCACATGGACTGAGAGTTGGGGGAGGGAAACTGGACCAAGAGGAAAACTAGGGAGATGTTTCCTGAAGGACGGGAAAGGAGGCTGGGCTGGCAAAACTGCAGATACTTGGCGCACAGGAAGCAATTCTTTTTGGTCTGATTGTCAGGTGTGTGATTGGACTTGCAGGACCCAAAGTAGGAAAGATAGGTTGAGGCCATCTTTCCCACTTCACATGCCAGGTGTATTGGTTAGAGTACAGGTTTGACAGCTACACCAGAGAGAGCCAGATGAACAACGTGAAAGCCGATCTCTTCCTGACACAACAGTTTGGTGGTGGATAGTCATCCTGTTCCAAGAGGCCATGAAGGGACCCAGGCACTATTTTGTTGTTCCACCACCTTCCAGATGTTGTCTTCCTTCTCACAGTCCTAAACAGCTCACCACCATCTCCACACTTCAGCCAGCAGGAAGGGGAGCAGGGCAAGGGGAGGCCGTTCCCTTCCCTTTAAGGGCAAAGCCTTGAAGATGCACACGTGTCTTCCCTCCACCCACACCTCAGTGGCCAGAATGTGTCCACATGGTCCCACCTAGCTGCAAGGGAGGCTGGGAATGCTGTGTGCACATCTGGATACAATACAAGATAAGCAGGGGAGAATGGACATTGGGGAACAACCTGCAGTCTGCCACACCAAGCAAAAGAGTGTGTTTCCCAAAGAATGACCTAAGGAGTGCTAGAACGAAGAGGTGTTCCACCATATAAGGTTTCCACTGTCCAAAAAGTTTGGGAAATGTTCCACGTTCCATGCTATTTTCATCTTAGGATATCTACTGCGTGCGTGTGTGCATGCACGCACGTGCACACACTCACACAAAGACCCTGAGAAGTCCTAGAGGAAAAAAAAAAAACAAAGTTTGCCAAAGTTATTTGATCACAGAACCCTTTGGTGGAGGTAAATCAGCCAATGAAAACTATGGATCACAATGGTCCGATTCACAACATATCATGGGGATGGCGCAGGACCAGGCAGCATTACATTTCGTTGTGCATGGGGTCGCCATGAGTTGGGGGCCGACTCCACAGCAGCTAACAATAACAAGAAACACCTACTAAAATTCTACAGATAAATTATTTCAAAATAAAAAGTTATTTAGAAAATTCTATGGAACATACTTTGGCCAGTGGGGACCAGTAAGGACTTGTGAGCAGTGGTGGCATGATCCGTTTGAGGTGGATGTTGGGCCGTTGTTCATCCTAACACGGCTGTGTTCTACACAGATAGACTGCCAATCGAATCACCATCCCCCAAAGCTAATTCTTGTGGTCAACCCCTGAAGTGCCAGCCCTTGTCCCTCGGAGGAATACAGGCATTCATTCCACCCAATCTGAAATGGTTTAATTTTTATGTCTAGAAATCTGTGCAAATCAGAACAGAAGCTGGCCCACGGCTCCACATTGAGCCTCCCCTGGACTATTCTGAAGATTTTGAGCCATGCGGGGATGTGAATATCAAGTCAAAGAATGCTTCTGGGGATCATCCACAGGTAGGCACCAGCCTCGGCCCTGTGCTTGGAGCTCCTGAAGGACGGTGGGCTCAGTGCTACAGCAGCTCTCAGGCACGTTTAGACAGCTGTTAACTCCTTCCTTCACGCGCCCGTGTCCCTTCCTTCTTGCACTCATTTAACACATGTTAAGGAGCCACAGACCATGTGCTACACACTCCGCTAGGCATCCGATGTCCAGGGGGTCAACAATACCTAGTCCCTGAACCAGGAGAGGGAGCACAGCAAAGGGGGCAAAGAACAGCAGGCACAAAAGAGGGAGACTATCTGGAAGGCTTCCTATAAGGGGTGACAGGTTGGCTAGGGACGAGGAGGTAAGGGCAGGCGGGCAGCAGAGCTGACGTTCGGCCTGTGTGCACTGGACAGCTAACTGCCCTGTGGAGCTGTAGCTCCAAGTCTGTGGCTATACAACAGCTGACAAGGTAACAACTAGGTCATTTTAAATCCCCATTCTCAAATTATTTCATTTCCGAAATCCTTTGAACGGCAGTAGTGTATCCCAGTCTTTGTTGTACACCTACTATTGAGCCTCAGGCTCTGTCCCAGGCACCAGAGATACAGAAATGAGCAAAACTGACAAGGCCCCTGTTCTTAAGCAGTTTACATTATGAGGGGGAGACAGATAAGAAAGAATAAACCAAGAAATAAATGAGGTCATTTCAGGTGTCAGTAAGTTCTATCAATGAAAGGGAGATGGGATGCATTAGGTAGGGTAGAGTGTCTCTCAGGTATGACATTTCAGCTGAAACCCGATCAAGAAGGAGCCAGCTTGGCAGCAAGCAATGGGAAAAGCACTCCAGGCCGAGGGAGCAGCAACTGCAAATGGCATGAGGCTGGGCTTGTTCAAAGAGTGGAATGCAGGTGTGGTGTGAGCAAGGGGAGAGTAGAAGGAGGGGATGGGAGGGCCAGATCAGGCAGTGGATCATAGGCCTGGGGTTGGGGATTTGGACTTTCTTCCAAGGGCATCGCTTTTATCATTAGGGTGAGTGATTTGACCATCTCCATAGTATACGTTCAAGCAAGATTATTGAGGGTGGCAGGTCAAAGTCAAGTTGCTAAGCCATGCCCTGTCCTGTTTGCAAGAGTGTCGTTCACTCAGCTGTGGGCCCAGGCTGCAGACTCCCATCACCTCACCAGGATCTTGCTTCTGTGTGTCACTTCTGTACCAAAAGCCTGCTCCTGTGAAATGCAAATGATGATAAAAGACAGGGCATGTTGCCCATGAAACATTCCTCAGATCTTTGTTGCAAGCTTGTTTCTGTATTTACTCAGAAAGAAAGGGCAGGCAAGGAACAGAGGATCATTTTGTTTCACATCCTGGTTGTGAAAGTCTGAGAGTAAATTGGAAATTTTTGTCTTCCTGGACAAAAAAAAAGCATTTTTTCATGAAATGACCCAATAACCTTGTTTTCCTATTTAGTCCACAAAAATGAGATTTTACAGCAGGCAAAATTGTGGACTTCATTGCCTTTAATGCTTACCTCCCACACAACACACACACACACACACACACACACACACACACACTTGCTTTTGAATCAACAATACAGTCTTCTCAGGATCAGTCTGTGCAAAAAAATTTTTATTTTATTTTTTGTTGTTGAGAATATACACAGCAGAACATACACCAATTCAATGATTTCTACAGTGACATTGATTACATTCTTCAAGTTGTGCAACCATTCTCACCCTCCTTTTCCAAATTGTTCCTTTCCCATTAATATAGACTAACTGCCTCCTAAGTTTCCTATCTAATCTTTCCAGTTGATGTTGTCAATTTGATCTCATATAGGTAGTTCTTAAAGGAGCACAGTGTTCAAGGCAGACATGCTTTACTAGCTAAGCTAAACTATTGTTTGGTTTAAAGCAGGGGATGTTTTTGGTTTAAGGTTTAAAGATTATCTCAGGGCAGTAGTTTCAGGGGTTCATCCAGCTGCCATGGCTCCAGAAAAATCTGGATGCCATGAGCATTTGAAATTCTGTTCTGCATTTTCCCCCTTCTGATCAGAATTCTTCTGTAGAATCTTTGATCAAAATATTCAGTTGTGGTAGCTGGACACCATTCAGTTCTTCTGGTCTCGTGCAAAGGAGACAGTTATTCATGGAGGTAATTCCATATCCTCCTCCTATTCCTGATTTTCCAGTCTGTGTAAAATTGCCGTCAGTTTCTCTTAGTTTGGGAGCCTGGTTTTTCGCCAAGTTCAACCTGTTACTGTCCCCACCCTACCCCAGTGTCACAGAGTGTATGCGCGTCCTTAAAGTGAGAGGCCATGGTAGTTCCCTTTGGCTGAACGCTTGGCACCTCCTGTTAAACGGACATGTATCCCTCCCTTTCCAGGCTTCCAAGCTCCCTGCAGCACTAGCTCCCTGCAGCAGCATCCCTCACAAGCGATTAAGTTCCATTAGCATTCCTGTGTGCACGTGCTTGGAATCCGCACCCACTGCTTCGCCAGCACTTAATTTTCTCCACTGTGAGTGCTTGATTGTATTTCTTTCTTTTCTTTTTTTTTCCTCCTCATCTTGAGGGGCACTCTGTATGGCTTCACAGTCAATTTCCCTTTGGAGTTATTTTCCTGCTAAGTGAAAGAGTAAAATGGCAACACCAGGTTTTGGCAAAGGCAGAAAGAAGCCTTAAAAGATGCAATCTGAACAGGGAAAGGGGGAAAAAAAAAGCGCGTGGCTAAATATACCCAGCCACCTCACACTGTTTGCAAGTGCAGCCTGAAATGGAGCAAAAGAAAATGCGTGTCCACAAGTATACTTTTTGTCTGACCTTCACTGTTGAAACACACCAGGCTTTTGCCTTCAATCATATTCTTAGTGAACTTCAATTTCTTGGCTGGACAGAGTTCACAGACCTGCATGCTGTAGACACATTTTGTTGGCCTCCACCTCGCTGACTCGCACAGTGTTTTTAAAAACGTGAATTACTAGCTGACATTTGAGAATCAGGAGATTCTGTGTAAAAATCTGAATTTGGAGCTGCTCTTGAAAAATCAGAAGATTTGGGTTTCACGCTCTCACCTGACAGCAATGAGCTGGAGCTGAGGCGACGATGTCCGCCTCGCAGGCATGTGCTCCCCAATTTGCCACAATCCCCACCACTCGGTCCCAGACACTCTTCTAGATAGCTAGCTAACCAGCTGCTATGGAGTCAGCTCTGACTCATGGCGACCCCTTGTACATCAGAACAAAACGTTGCCCGATCCTGTGTCATCCTCACGATGGCTGGCATGTTCAAGTCCTTGTTGCGGCTGTTGTACCAATACATCTCACCAGGCCTCTCCCTTGCTCTCTACTTCACCAAATATAATGTCCTCCTCCAGTGATTGATCCCTCCTATCTTAGACATCTAGTACTGCTCCAACAGAAATACCACAAGTGGATGATTTTAACAAAGGGAAGTTTATTCTCTCACAGTCCAGTAGGCTATAAATCCAAATTCAGGGCATCAGCTCCAAGGGAACGCTTTCTTTGTCGGCTCTGGAGGAAGGTCTGTGTCATCAATCTTCCCTTGGTCTGGGAGCTTCTCTGCGCAGGAACCTCAGGTCCAAAGGACGCACTCTGCTCCTGGCACTGCTTTCTTGATGGTATGAGGTTCCCGTGTGTCTCTGCTCACTTCTCTCTTTTATATCTCAAAAGAGATTGGCTTAAGACGCTATCCAATCTTGTATATACCTCATCAGTATCACTGGCTCTAACCCATCTTATTAGAGCATAGTGATTGAATTTACAACACAGAAGGAAATCACATCAGATTACAAAATGGTACACAATTATACAATACCAGGAATCATGACCCAGCCAAGTTGACAGATATTTTGGGGGAACACAGTTCAGTCCATGATACCTCCTGATGATGTGTCCAAAGCAAGTGAGTTGGACAGTATTCTGTTGAGATCCATAAGGTTTTCATTGGCTAATTTTCAGAAGTAGATCGCCAGGCCTTTCTTCCTCATCTGTCTTAGTCTGAAAGCTCTGCTGAAACCTCTCTACCATGGGTGACCCTGCTAGACACTGAAAATAAAACAGCGAACAAAAACTGCCTCTCTGGAGGGGAGGCAGACAGTATATGTCAGGTGATGATAGGCCTTACAAGAAAAATAAAGTAAGAGGATAGAAAAAGGTGGGAAGGGACCACTGTTTATATGGGGAGGTCAGGGGGTCTCCTTGCTGAAGTGATGTTTGAGCAGAGACCTCAAGGAAGTGAGAGAGTGAGCTGTATGGAAAAGAGCATTCTAGGCACAAGGAACAGGAGGTGCAGAGCCCTTGAGGAGGAGGACAGCAAAGAGCCAGTGTGGTTGGAGCACAGTGAGCAAGGGAGTGAAGGAAAGGAGCTGAGGACAGAGAAGGAGCCATTGGTCAGATCACATAGGGCTTTGAGGGCTGTGGCAGATATGTGGAATTCTCCTCTACTCTGAGTCAGATAGGAAGCCATCTGTGTTAGCTATCTAGTGCTGCTATAACAGAAATACCACAAGTGGATGGCTTTAGCAAAGAGAAATTTATTCTGTCACAGTCTAGTAGGCTACAAGTGCAAATTTAGGGCATCAGCTCCAGGGGAGGGCTTTTTCTGTTGGCTCTGGAGGAAGGTCCTTGTCATCAATCTTCCCCTGGCCAAGGAGCTTCTCAGGTTCAGGGACCCCAGGTCCAAATGATGTGCTCTGCTCCCGGTGCTGCTTTCTTGGTGATGTCAGGTCCCTTGTCTCTCTGCTTACTTCTCTCTTTTATATCTCAAAAGAGATTGGCTTAAGACACAATCTAATCTTGTAGATCTCATCATTGTAACTGCCACTATTCCATCTCATCAACATCATAGAAATAGGATTTGCAACACATAGGGAAATCACATCAGATGACAAAATGGTGGACAATCATACATACTGGGAATCATGATCTAGCCAAGTTGACAGGTATTTTTGAGAGACACAATTCAATCCATGACACCATCGCAGGGTTTTGAGCAGCTTAGCAACTCCAGT